ATAAGCCTTAGTTAAGATATTCTTACTTTTAATCCATTGATATTTCTGCTCATTTGGCAAATGTGGCTCTCTAGCATAGCTTTTCAATATTTAAGCATTGCTCCATTGTGCAGTTGATCTTAGATGAACATTAGTTGATACAAATTTTGTGAGAGTTAAATAATAGTAAAAAATTTTTTGGTAGGCCCGGATTTTGTTGTGTGTGATGAAGGTCATATACTAAAAAATGAAGCTTCAGCTGTATCCAAAGCTATCAATTTGATTCGTTCAAAAAGACGAATTATTTTAACAGGAACACCTCTACAAAATAATCTAACGGAATGTAAGTTACTGTCCTCTTTTGAGTTATTTTGAGCTATTTTTTCAGCATGGATATGATTTATGTTCCTAATCTCTTTACCTACAGTCTTTTTAGAATTTTTTTCTTTTATTTATTAACTTGTCTGAATTATTTCAATTATTATAACATTTATTTCTGTTAAAATTTGTCTTAAATTATGTCTTTGTGTTTTAAAAATATTATTAAAGTTTTACTTATCATTAAATTTTCTGAACTATTTCTAAAAAATGTGCTTACCAACATCTTCAAAAATAGTTGGATTGTTAAATAATTATTTGGCAAGTGCTAATTGAATTATCACATTTCATCAGATCTCATTTATTTAAAAAAACTTTGTTCATCATTATTGCATTAATGATATAAAATTGGTTGAATAAAATGTGATATATTTGCAATGACAATTTATTTTTCTTCTCTTAGATCACTGTATGGTTAATTTTGTCAAAGAGAATCTTCTTGGTTCTGTTACGGAATTTAGGAATCGATTCATAAATCCAATTCAAAATGGCCAGTGTGCAGATTCCACCACGACAAATGTTCAAGTAATGAAAAAGCGTGCCCATATTCTCTATGAAATGTTAGCTGGCTGTGTTCAGGTAGATGTAAAATATATATTCATCTATACTCAGTCAGTTTTAGTTGAAAAATCTGTAATTTTGCTTGCAACCTCTTCATGATATGTTGTTACATCTGAAGTATAAAGTAAGAAAGGCAAAGGTCCAAGCATGATCAATTTATTAGACTAGCAGTAAGCAGTGAGTTGAATCAGTTGCTTTTCTCAGTGACAAAGACCCCAAGGTAATTAGTTAGTTTTGGGAAATTCAAGAGAACAAAGGACATAGTTGGATAGGTAAGGAAAGACAGTTAGGGTAGATAGTCATAGGTGTTGGGACAGCATGATTGGTTACATGAAGGAAACTGGTGCTAGTAACTCCTCTCAGCATATTGTAGACATTGTGAGTGGACCTGAATTAGCAGATTCTCCAGAAAGCTTTGTTAGGAAGATAATGGTTTTCCTTGGTGGTGCAGAGACACTTCAGGGGCACTGTATCTCTTAGAACTTCCTTCAAGACAACTTGGTTCAGATAACACCTGATGTTTTAGTATTTTCCTAGTTTTTCCCATTAATTGTAACTTTAATCTGAGAGGGAAAGTTGAGTTCTCAGGCTCAATTCAAGGACAAAGAAAGGTGGCTAGATAGTCTAATTGATAAATGAATAATAATCTCTTATACAATATATCCTACTTTTGGTTGGAGAAAAAGTTATTTTTACCAAAATTTTTGGCACTGTCAGATTGTTAAACATTAGAAACTGACAAGTTTTTTTTTATCAGTAGAAAGACATTAAAGAATAGGCATTGCCATCTGTTTTCCTGTTGCACCCTAAGGACTGTGGGACTTTTCAATCTGACTTGGAACTGAAGTCTTACATATACATACATAATATATATAATATATATTATATATATATATATATATATATATATATAATATATATATATATATATTATATATATACATATATATATGTGTGTGTATATATATATATATATGTATATCTATTTGTATCCCTAGTGCTTTGCACATATGGCAAGTATTTAACAAATATGTCCATTCATTCAATTATTCATCACCTTGAACCTGTAAACTTCAAGGAGTTCAACACCATCTGTCCTGCCCAAGCAACCCAGGGGTGAGAACAGAAGTGGAAAAGGACACAGAAGACCATGTAGCTCTCTGAATTTTGATCAAGGAGCTGGATGGATGAAGGGAGGAATAAAAAACTAGGCTTCTTAGCCACCCAGTACCCTGATCCAGGACAGCCTGCTACATCCTAAGAGTAGACACACCAAGTGAAAGAGAAGCGACATCAGATAGTCAAGTTAACAAGCATTTATTAAGCACTTTCCATGTGTCAGGTATTGTATTGCGGAGACACATAGCCACCATCCCAAAATCAAGAAATTGCCATTCTAACAAGGAAACTATATTTGAGATATATAAACAATGTAAAAAAAGGAATAATTTCAAAAAGGAAGGTATTAGTAGTGGGGGATGGAGAGCGAAGGAGGAGAGACCAGGAAAGGCTTCAGGTAGTAGATGGAATTTGAGATAAGACTTAAAATTAAGTCAAAATTTTATTTATATGTTTGTAAATATCCATGTACTGCATTTAAGTTGTCAATTGTGTTAGTATTTATCAGTCAGACTTTTCCTGACCCCATAGAATATGGCCCTTCTGTCATCCATTATCTCTCAAACTCTATCCAAGTTTATGTTCGTTGTTTGCATGGCAGTATTCTAACCAGCTTCAGTATTTGGCCTTCCAGTGAATAGCCAGAATTAGTTAATTTAAGTGTTGAATGATTTGGTTTCCTTGTTGTCCAAGGGACTCTGGAAAGTCTTCTCCAGTACCAAAATCTGAAAGTGTTGATTTTGTGGAGCACAGCTTTCTTTATAGTTCCAATTCTCACATTGCTCCTGGAAAAACCATAGTTTTCACTATATGGAAGGGTCAGCAGGGTAATGCCTCTGCTTTTCAGCCTGCTGCCTAGATGTGCCTTTCTTTCCAAGGAGCAGTCTCTTTTAATTTCATGGCTGATGTCACCATGTGCAGAGATTTGAGCCCAAGACCATACAATCTGACACTACTTCCATTTATTCTCCCTCTATTTGTCAGGAAGTGATGGCCAAGCAATCAAGATTGTAGTTTTGTTTTGTTTTTTATTTTACATTTCAGGACATAGGTCAGAATAGTTAGTTTCCAGTAATTTCCTTTATTCATTTTTTTTCTGAAAAACCTCATTTTTTAATTTTCATAGTAAAAATTTGGGGCCCCTCTCTTTTTAGATCAAACTAGCTCATGACTTGAAAAAGCCTCACTTCAATTAAAGTCCATTTTTCTCCCATAGAATCATATTCAGCTTTGCAGGGTAGATCGTGTAAGACTGTATCTTTTGCCTTTTAGGTATTCCATGTTTTCTCACAAAATTTATCAGTAGCTGCCAGATCTTGTGGAATCATAAGTAGTGTGTGAACTGGTTCTTTCTGGATGAAGCATTTTTTGTTTGACATGGACTTTATGAATTTTGGCATTTGTGAGATTTTCTGTTTGAGATTACTTTCAGGAAATGATTGGAGTATTCTTTTTCTCTTTGCTCTCTTGTTCTAATAGATTAGGGTAGTTTTACTCATGGTTTCTCAAATTATAGTATGTTGATCTTTTTTTTTTTTGGTTATGGTTTTTAGGGAGTTGAATGAGTCTTAAATTATTTCTCCTTGGCCCATTTTCCATTTTACTAGTTTTTTACATCAGAATCTTAGATTTCTTTTTTTTCCCTCAATGCTCTTGTAAATTCAGTTACCATTCTTTCCTCCAGGCCTTTTAGTCAAAAGACTCTTTCCTTATTTAACCCAGGTATTCATGCTAGATAGTTGGAACTCCATTGAATATTTTTGTAATCATTATGACTAATTTGCTTATTTATTGTGGGCATCTCTAGTTTTTATGTACATACACATACATATGTATGTATATTTATGCTGATGAAAGCTTTCTTTGATTTACTCATCTCTCTAGCTTTGGACATTTTATACCTTCTGCTGTACTTTTGATTGGGATGGTTAGTCTCAGAGTAATAATTTTTAAAGTTTCTTTATCTCAGTTAAGGACCTTGGCTCCCTTGGACTTGAAATCAAATTCACCCTTGAATTCTTACTACCTTGGACTCTTAGAAAGTTACTTCACCTCTGTTTGCCTTTGTTTCCTCAGTAGTAAAATGTGCTTACAGGCTTGTTGTGAGGATCAAAGGAGATAATATATGTAGAGTGCTTAGTGCTTTAGGCTTGGCATATAGTATAAACGTTAGAGATTTATTACTCTCTGTTGCAGCTAAAATCCCATCTTCTATAGGAAATCTTTTCCAATTCTCAATTATGTTGCCTTTCCTCTTTGAATAATTTCCATATTTATTGTGTACATTTCTGGTTTTGACAATATTGTTAGCTTCTTTTTTCTTTCTTAGATTGTGAACTCTTTAAGGGCAGGGACTGTTATTTTGCCTCTTTGTTGTAGACCCAGCACATTGCCTGCCACATGATGGACTCTTAATAAATGTTTGTTGACCAACTGACAGACTGACCATCTTATGACTTTCTAAAACACAAAACCATGTGGACAGCCTCTGCAAAAGAATCCCTATAGAAAAAAGCAGCCTAGCACTGTTGTAGGTACCACAACATTGACTACTAAATACTAAAAGCCACCAGTCTGAAATCTATCAGTTTTGTTGATGTGAAAAGTGAAGGCAGAGAACCATTTGGGGAGTCAAAATTTGGTATGTCTTCATGAGAAATTTTAAATACAGATAATATAATAAATTTATGAAATGCAAGATAATAGAAAATGAAGAACTATGTGTATGGTGAAAATTAGGTCAGAAGGGACCATTTGTTGGATAGTGAAAAAAGAATTTATTTTCACTGGACTCAGGTTGTTTTTTTTTTATTAGTACAGAAAAGATCATTTTTAAAAGTTAAATCTAAGAGAACCAGTGATTGATTATGTTAAAGAGATTATAAGCTTGAGAGTTAGGCTATTTTGGAGTTTGGAATATACCTGAATTAATTACTAGTATGAGAGCATAATTTATTTTCATTTCTTTATCTTACAGAGGAAAGATTGCACAACATTAGCAGAGTTTTTACCACCCAAACATGAGTATGTATTAGCAGTAAGAATGACTTCTATTCAGTGCAAGCTTTACCAGTACTATTTGGATCACTTCACAGGTAAAAAAAAAATTAATTTGTGTGATTATTCTTTCATGTTAATTTGTAAGGGTTTATTTGTTCCTCAAATAAAAGTGTTATTTAAAAAATTTGGAGACTTCCCCTTCCGGGAGCCAAGATGGTGGAGTGAAAAGGTAGTTGCTCTCACTCTCCCCTATCAACCTCTGAAAACACAGAAAATATCACCCCAGAAAAAAACCCTGGAACACCTGAACTAGAAGAAAGACAGGGAGCAGCAGTGCAGCAGCCCAGCAAAGGGTCTCCCAGTGCCTCAGCAAAAATAAGGGAGGCAGAACTACAAGGGGCCCCAGGCAATAAGTACCCTGCACATTCATCTGAAAGGAGGTGAAGAAAACAACCTAAAGGCTTCCTAAAGCCCCAGCCTTGCTGATTCCAACCCAACACCAGGTGAGCTGTCAGAGCCCTGAGCCTCCAATTGTGAAGAAATCCTGAAGCCCAGGTGGTAGAGCAGGCAAACACCAACACCTGGACCTCCGAGTGCCTCAGTGAGGGTGGGGGAACCGGTGGAAACCAGCTCAGAAAACCACCAGGTGCCTGGCACTCCCCAAAGGAATCTCCCAGTGCATTAGCAGAAAAGGGAGACAACACTGCAGGGGGCCCCAGGCAGATAACACCCTGCAGCACCCATCTAAAAGGAGCTGAAGAAAGCTAAAGGAAAGGAAAAGCAGGCAACCTAGAATTGCCTGAAAGTTCCAGCCTTGCTGATTCCAGCCCAACACGAGGTAAGCTGCCAGAAACCTACAGCCTCCAATTGCCAGCATAAGAGGCCCCAGCACACAAAGCCAGTGACCAAGACCTAGGCTCCCAACACAAGAAGCTTGGGTCAGTACCCTCTGTTCCCCAGCAGGAGAGCTCAATCTCTTTAAAGGCCAGGGAATAAAGAAACACCATGAGTAAAAAGAAATGTACCATAGATTCATATTATGAGAAGAGTGAAGATCAAGACAGAAATTCTGAAGAGGACAACATTGTCAACAAACCCACATCTGCAACAACAAAAGGGAATATGAACTGGTCTGAAGCCCAAAAAGCCTTCTTAGAAGAGCTCAAGAAGGATTTTAATAGTCAAATGAGAGAGGTAGAAGAGTCCTTCAAAAATACAATTGGCCAATTGGAAAAAAAATACACTGAAGAAAACAAGTCCCTAAAAAACACAATTGGCCAATTGAAGAAGGAAGTACAAAAACTAACAGAAGAAAACAATCTGTTAAAAACTAGAATTGGACAAATGGAAACTAATGTCTCTATGAGAGAGCAAGAATCAGTCAAACAGAAACAAAAAAATGAAAAAATAGATGAAAATGTAAAATACCTCATCAGTAAAACAACGACCTGGAAAATCGACTCAGGAGAGACAATTTAAAAATTATTGGACTACCTGAAAATCATGATGAAAAAAAGAGCCTGGACAGTATCTTTCAGGAAATCATAAAGGAAAACTGCCCTGAAGTCCTAGAACCAGAAGGGAAAATAACCATAGAAAGAATCCACGATCACCACCTGAAAGAGATCCCAAATTGACAACCCAAGGAAATAATAGCAAAATTCCAAAATTACCAGATGAAAGAGAAGGTGCTGCAAGCAGCCAGAAAGAAACAATTTAAATATCATGGAACCACAGTCAGGATTACACAGGACCTTGCAGCTTCTACATTAAAAGACGCAGGGCATGGAACATGATATTCTGTAAGGCAAAGGAGCTTGGAATGCAGCCAAGGATCAATTACCCAGCAAAAATGAGCATCATTTTTCAAGGGAGGAGGTGGATATTCAACAAATAGGAGACTTCCAAACTTTCCTGATAAAAAGACCAGAGCTCAACAAAAAATTTGATCTTCAAGTACAGGACTCAAGAAGGACTTAAAAAGGTAAATGGGACAGAAGATACAATATGTTGTTAATAAGGGGGGGGTTTAAACCCTACAAGGGAATATGAGACTTGCAACCCTTGAGAACTGTATTGTTATTACACCTTGTTAAAGGAGTATACATAAAGAGGGTGGATATTAGTTGACTTTGATGTAATGATAAAAAAAATCTAATCAAGTGGGTTAAATGGATCCAAATAAGTGGATCAATCTGATCTTAGAAAATGTACTGAGAAAGGAGGAGGCAGACAAGGGTAAATTACATTACAGGAAAAGACACAAAATCCTATTAGCAGAGGGAAAGAAGGGAGGGGGGAGCATTGTTTGAACCTTACTCTCATCAGATTTGGCTCAAGAAGGGCATAAATAATCAGTTAGGTATAGAAATCTAACTTGCCCTATAGGCAGTAGGAGGGAAAAGGGAAAGAAAAGGGAGGGGGGAAAGAAGGGAGGGAAGAAGCAGTAAGACTAAAGGGGAAGAAAAGGGAAAGGGATAATAAAAGGGGGAGGGACTGAAGGAGGCGGTGGTCAAAAGCAAAACACTAGTGAAGGGGGGAAAGGAAAAAGGAGAAAGAAAAGCATAAATGGGGGAAAAGGATGGAGAAAAAGACACAGATAGTAATCATAACTGTGAATGTGAATGGGATGAACTCTCCCATAAAAGGAAACGGATTGCAGAATGGATTAAAAACCATAATCCTACAATATGTTGTTTACAGGAAACACATTTGAAAAAGAGTGACACATACAGGGTAAAGGTAAAAGGCTGGAGCAGAATATATTATGCGTCAGCTGAAGTAAAAAAGCAGGGGTAGCAATCCTGATCTCAGACAAAGCAAAAGCAAAAATAGATCTAATCAAAAGAGATAAGGAAGGAAACTACATCCTGCTAAAAGGCACCATAGACAATGAAGTAATATCATTACTAAACATATATGCACCAAATGGTATAGCATCCAAATTCTTAGAGGAGAAGTTCAGGGAGTTACAGGAAGAAATAGACAGCAAAACTATACTAGTGGGGGACCTGAACCTCCCCTCTGCACTAGATAAGTCTAACCACAAAATAAACAAGAAAGAAGTTAAGGAGGTGAATAGAACATTAGAAAAGTTAGGTATGATAGACCTCTGGAGAAAACTGAATGGGGATAGAAAGGAATATACTTTTTTCTGCAGTACATGGCACATACACAAAAATTGACCATGTACTAGGGCATAAAAACCTCACAATCCAATGCAGAAAGGCAGAAATATTAAATGCATCCTTTTCAGATCATGATGCAATAAAAATTATATGTAATAAAGGGCCATGGAAAGATAGACTAAAAAATAATTGGAAACTAAATAATCTAATCCTAAAAAATGATTGGGTCAAACAACAAATCATAGAAACAATCAATAATTTCATTCAAGAGAATGACAATAATGAGACAACATACCAAAACCTATGGGATGCAGTGAAAGCAGTTCTTAGGGGAAGTTTTATATCTCTAAATGCTTACATAAATAAAATAGAAAAAGAGGAGATTAATGAATTGGGCATACAACTAAAAAAACTAGAAAAAGAACAAATTAAAAATCATCAACTAAACACCAAATTAGAAATATTGAAAACCAAAGGAAAAATTATAAAATTGAAATTAAGAAAACTATTGAACTAATAAATAAAACTAAGAGCTGGTTTTATGAAAAAACCAATAAAATAGATAAGCCTTTGGTTAATTTAATTAAAAAAAAAAGAAGAAAACCAAATTACTAGTATCAAGAATGAAAAGGGTGAAGCTACCACCAAGGAAGAGGAAATTAAAACAATAATTAGGAATTATTTTGCCCAACTATATGCCAACAAATTTGACAATCTTAGTGAAATGGATACATATTTACAAAAATATAAATTGCCCAGATTAACCGAAGAGGAAGTAAAATACTTAAATAACCCCATCTCAGAAAAAAAATTGAACAAGCCATTGATGAACTCCCTAGGAAAAAATCTCCAGGGCCAGATGGATTTACATGCGAATTCTATCAAACATTTAAAGAACAATTAATTCCAATACTATATAGACTATTTGGGAAAATAGGTGAAGAAGGAGTCTTACCAAATTCTTTTTTGATACAAATATGGTGTTGATACCTAAACCAGGAAGAGTCAAAATAGAGAAAGAAAATTATAGACCAATTTCTCTAATGAATATAGATGCAAAAATTTTAAACAAAATACTAGCAAGTAGATTGCAGCAACTTATCACAAGAATAATACACTATGACCAGGTAGGATTTATACCAGGAATGCAGGGTTGGTTCAATATTAGGAAAACTATCAGCATCATTGAGCATATCAACACAAAACCAACAGAAACCACATGATCATCTCAATAGATGCAGAAAAAGCTTTTGATAAAATACAACACCCATTCCTATTAAAAACACTAGAAAGCATAGGTATAAATGGAGTCTTCCTTAAAATAATAAATAGCATTATCTAAAACCTTCAGCAAGCATTATATGTAATGGGGACAGGCTAGAAGCATTTCCAATAAGATCGGGGTGAAACAAGGATGTCCATTATCACCACTGTTATTCAATATTGTACTGGAAACCTTAGCTTTAGCAATAAGAGAAGAAAAAGAAATTGAAGGCATTAGAATAGGCAAAGAAGAAAAGCTATCACTCTTTGCAGATGACATGATGATATACTTAGAGAATCCTAGAGAATCAAGTAAAAAACTACTTGAAATAATAAACAACTTTAGCAAAGTTGCAGGCTATAAAATAAACCCACATAAATCATCAGCATTTCTATATATTACCAACAAAGCCCAACAGCAAGAGATAGAAAGAGAAATCCCATTTAAACTTACTGTAGACATTATAAAATATTTAGGAGTCTACCTCCAAACAAACCCAGGAACTCTATGAACACAATTACAAAACACTTTTCACACAAATAAAATCAGATCTAAATAATTGGAAAAATCAGTTGCTCATGGGTAGGCCGAGCTAATATAATAAAAATGACAATCCTACCTAAGCTAATTTACTTATTCAGTGCCATACCAATCAAACTACCAAAATTATTTTATAGAGTTAGAAAAAATAATAACAAGATTC